AAAAAAAATAAGAACCATAATTCCAATGAGACCATTATTGAAAGTATCTTATACTAGTTTAATATTTTCCCAATAGAAGCCATGAAAAAACATTTTTTCGGGGTTGAAATATGTATTTTCAAGCAAATGGCCTATAGGCCGCCACAAGGTCAAAGTCCAACGTGGAGCAAGCTGATTGGATACTACGCTAATTTTGACACATTTATGATTTTATGACCCAATCCAAAAAAATATTAATAATAAATAGTATAAGAAAAGAGAAACCAAAGTGGAAAAAATAAAAAGACACTATACACTATTATATTTACTGAATAATTCCGTAATGGGACTTTAACGAAATAGTTCCGTAACGGGACTTTAGCATTTTTCTATGTTTATATCAAACTATCAAAGACATTCAAAGTAGAAAGAAGTGATTAAATCAGCAAATTCAACCTTGTTTTTCTGGGCTTTCTTCACCTCGTATCAAGAAACATTAGACAAACGAAGCCCTCGTTTTAAAGATTTGATTTTTTATCTGCCCATTGATCTTCAATATGAATACCCTCATCCAGAAGCAGAGCCTTTTTCTTGTTCCGATTTCGGTGTTGTTCTTGTTATGGAGTCGGGTCGACTCGATCCAGTTCGATCTGGATTCGGGTCACACCAAATGCATATCGGAGGATATCAAGAGCAACTCAATGACTGTTGGGAAGTACCATGTTGTAAACCCTAATGAAGGGCACCCTCTTCCTGAATCTCATAAACTCACTGTTCGGGTATTTTTTTTTTTTTTTTTTTAATTCAATTTATGGTCGAATCTGATTTTGCTTTCATTATTTTCTTTGTAATTTCTTGGACCCTTTTGTTAAAATTTGTGGGGAATTCTTTGTTATGGTGAAAAGATTTGTACTTTATGTTCGCTGTAATGATATAATTATAATTAGATTAAGAAACGAGAATATCTTTAATCTTGGGCAAATATATACAGGTGACATCTTCGTATGGAAATAGCTATCACAATTCGGAGCATGTGAACGAGGGGCATTTCGCATTTCAAGCAGTCGAGGCAGGCGATTACATGGCTTGCTTTTTTGCGGCCGATCATAATCCTGCAACGAATTTAACCGTCGACTTTGACTGGAAATCGGGCGTTGCTGCCAAAGACTGGACAAATGTTGCGAAAAAAGGCTCTGTTGAAGTAAGTAGTCGAATGCGTATTGTTAGAAGTTATGTTTGTCCCACATTCATTAGTTGTTGGGGTGCTATTTATAGTTTGAGTTTGTTTGCCGTGTACTTGTTATGGTTATGTGGTTGAAAGATGAAAGCTTGTATGGTCATATTTTGTACATGCGTAGTTTATGATTAAGGCTATGTTTGGTAGACAAATAAGTTTTGCTTATAGCTTATTTAGTTATCTTATAAGCATCCTGTATGTAAATAAGTTTCGTTGGGTAGGACGAACTTATTTCATAAGCTTTTGGGTAGCTTTTCAAATAAGGTCATTGAAACTTTTATTTCAGCTAGCTTATCAGCTAATTTAACGAACACTCTTATCATATAAGCTAACTTTTCAGCTATAAGTCATAAGCTATAAGCTCGAAAATCACTAATAAGATATAAGCTAGCTTATCAGCTAGTTTTACCAACATAGCCTTAGTACTTTGATTTCTCTACTTGTTGCTTAGTTTGACTCTGAGTGCTAGAATTTATTTGATGCTTAAACTGATAGTTATTTAAGAAAGGCTGGCAATATTGAGGTGCTTTTGACCTGTGCTAGTAACATGATACTTATCGAAGAAAATGGCTGTCTTGTAGTGGCGACATATATTCTTATCTATTTTTTGTTCAAGGATTAGTGTATGTTTGTTGCCTCAATAGTGAATAACTGTTGTTATTCTCATTGAGTTTCGTTTGCGCATAGTGATTACATATCTTTCTCTGTTTTTCTTTTGTTTTTGTGATTGAAGCTGTTTATGCTAGCCTACTAAGGAGATGAATGTACTTTTGACCTTAACTCGGCTGGATTTGTATAACACTATACAGTATTGCTTATTTCCTTTAGCTCTTTCTTTTTATTGCGTATAGTATACACACGCATAATATGTTCAATACTTGATTTGAAAAATTTCTACTTCGACTGCCTTTGCAGTTAATGGAAATAGAGCTGAAGAAAATGTTCGACACTGTACAATCCATTCACGACGAGATGTTTTATCTACGTGAAAGGTAAAAGTCCCAACTTAAATTCATGATTTATCGTGAAAGGTAAAAAGTCCCAACTTAAATTCATGATTTATCGTGTTATTAATCACCATTAGAATAGTTCTCACTTTGGTGCATTTATCTTATTATTTTTGCAGAGAAGAGGAGATGCAGGAACTAAACCGATCGACTAACTCCAAGATGTTTTGGTTCAGTTTTCTGTCTATTCTTGTTTGCCTTTCGGTTGCTGGGCTTCAGCTATGGCATTTGAAGTCCTTTTTCGAGAAGAAGAAGCTTATTTAGAAAAAAAAATAAAAAAATCACTGTTCTGTAATCAATTTCCGGATTTTTTTTTTTTCCTATAAAGTTATATGTGTACAATTATCTAGAGAAGAGGCTAGATTACAGTTTGTTGATTCATTTGAGAAAAGCATGAATCGAAACTGTAATAGGGACTTCATTTTGTGTTGTAGGGAGTTTTTAACAGAACTGAGAATGGGAGAGACCATTTTTTCGGACACAAGTGAATTTTAGTGTCTGCAAATGCAAATTTATGGTGTTGGTCTTGCTTCAAATTCCCTGCTTTAGTAGATCATAACGAGTAAAGAAGAAGAAGTGCCAATTACCAAACAAAAACATGAAGAAATTTATTTGCAAACAATCCAAGTATGTGCACTCAGGGCATGGCTGCCTCCATAGGGAGTAAAGTCGGTAAACCTATCCCCCAGTCGACATCAACTTATTATTATTAACAATAGAACTAAAAATAAAATCTCCCGAGCAAAGCTTCACTGACTAGGTGGAGGGAAGAAGATTTCTTCCGCCTTCCTCTTGGAGCTGAACTTCTGCTCGACGTCAACCGGCACATTGAAAGCCGCCTGAAGCACCTCCGACGATAGCGCCTTCCACACCGAAGTCCTTCCCGCCAAATGTGTGAAAATCGGGCTGTTGAAACCATAATTCAACTATTACTCAACTCTCAAGAAACTGATAAACCACAATTATTCATGTGCAATAATGGTAACAATAACAAGCAAAAATTAATAATGATAAAAAAAAACTTTAAACTCACTTGGGAGTAGTTATGATGGAGAACCAATCCATGCCATCAGGGTCTGCAATTTTAGAGACCACAAAGAACCTGGGCACAATAAACAGATTCCCAGCCTTAATGGTAGTCTCCAGAACCCGCTTCCCGTCAACTCCCACAACCTGTACCCGCCCGCTACCCCTCACAATGTAAGTCACCTGCAGGGCCGAGTCACACGAGAAGCCCGGGGAGCACATAGCACTGCCATTCAGTTGGACGAGGTCTGCTCCAAGCCCGACTTCCCCGACCAGAGGCAAATTCTTGGTGTTCAAAACAACCACCTTGCCCCCACCTTTAATGTCCACGTCGAGTGGGGCTTCCTCGCAGTTGAGGGCCATGCCATTATAATGCTCCTTATTGGGCTCGGGGAGCTTCGTGTTTGGGCCGAGCTTGATGATGCCGTGGCCATGCTGGCTGGAGACGAGGGCCTTGGCGGTGGGCTCATCGACGTCCCAGGCCCGGCTGACAAACTCGGTGGAGAAACCCGTGAAGATGCCTTTGGGGCCAGTGAGGAAGAAGTCAGTGAAGGAGCCGCGTTTGTGGGCTTTGGAGGTGTCGCCAAGGAAGAGGATGACGAGCTCTGTGTCTTCCTTGTTGTGGTACCAGGTTACGACACCAAATGGGAGGGCTATGGCATCGCCCTTTTTGATCGGGAGCACCTTTTCTTCCTTCTCCGGGAGGATGATACCGGCCACTCCACTGCCTGCGAAAATGGATAAGGCAATACATCGAGCATGATGAGTGCAAGTGCAATCGGTTTTAAATGGATAGTAGACGAAAAACACATTTTCAGTAGCACGAAATCTGAAGTTAGCAGCAATTGAAATACATTATCAGCATAACTATCACGGAGCACGAATTTATCAGGAATTGAATTATTTTATCAGCATCACTATTCATCCTAGTGTGCACGAGGATTCATCCTACAGTGAACGGGGAGAATAGCAATTTCAAACTTTCTCTGAAAAACAACAGCATGAACGATTTGCGCAACTGCAGACAGACAATCGGAACACTTCGCTTCAAATGTATCGGCGAACATAAAAAAACAAGGAACACACGAATCAGATTCAATCAACAGCAAAGCAATAAACCACGTGCGGATCTGAGATTAGCTACTACTGTACCTTGAAGAACATAAGCAACTTTAGCAGAATCGGAGTATCGAGGGGGCGCGAAGCCGTTTTTCTCGAGGGCGAGCTTAGCGGCGCCGATGTTGCCTTCGCGGAGCATCGGGAGCTCGTCGGGGCACCACGCGTAGTACGCGCCGCCATCTCCGCCGTAGATCTTCTTCGCCAACCTTGGTGTCAAGTCGAGCTCCATCTTTTCAGATCACTTCTCTTTCTCTCTCTCTAAAATCAAACAGAAAGGAAACGCAAACAGAGTGAAAAATATGCTGATGAGTACTACGGATGATCTGTTTGGTATTTATAGGGGGAAATACGAAAGAGAGTTTAACTATACTGTAATTACGAGATTAGTTTGTTAATTGTGGATTAGGACTTATCGTTGAAGAAAACAAAAACTACAGGACTCTTAATTATCTTATCCATGGATCATGATCATCATTTATTAGTAATTTTGTTTGCGCTTATAATAATTAGTAATAATATTAAGGATACTATTATGGATAAATATACACGAGATATTGTAATCTTATGACTTGGGAAAAAGAAAAAGTTATGGCTCCGATTGTTTATGAAATAATTTGTTCAAATTGAGTTATTTTGGTTAACTATAGTTAATTTTAAAAAATGTGGTATGGTTAGTTATAGTGGAATTTTAAGAATGTATTAAAATAATATTTAAAATAAAATAATTAAAATTGATTTGATGTAAAAGTAAGAGAAAAATGATTGTAAATGTTGAAAATGATAGGTAGTTAAAATTATGTGAGTGAATAAATAGTGAATTAAAATTGATGTGATGTGTAAGAATGATTAGTTTGTATTATTTAATTATATGAATAATATTAAAGATAGTGGGGTTGAGTTAAAGTTAAGTTAGATTTTGAGTTGAAATAAAAGTGAGTAAATTATTTTGTAAACAATCACTCCCTTAGTATTTGATATTGCAATTTGCATGCGTGATTGGATTGGGACTTTATCACACTGAGATAACTTTTTGAGTTATTTGGATAATATACTAGAAACTTTTAATTCATTCCAACAACAATATTTAATTGGATAATATACTAGAAACTTTTAAATCATTCCAACAACAATATTTAAAATAATAGAGCGTTTTTATGGTTTATAATTATCACCGTGAGATGGTGCTAGAGGATTAGGATTCTATCTCATAGATAACTTTGAGTAGTCTATAAATAAAAGAGCGTTGTATGTGTTACAATTATCATAGTGCTAGGTGATTAGGATTCTATCTTACCGAGATAACTTAATAAATTTGTTAATTTATTTTATATTTATATTTATATCTACTATTATAAAAGTACCCATGAATATGTAAAAATATAATATAGAAGCAGATGTAGTGAACAAGCAGGTATTGGCCCTCGTATAAGCAGCAAACTGCATTTGATACACACTCCAGGTGATAGCAGACCGATCGCTCGGAAGTCCAAGATAGAATAACAGCCACAAAATGTTTGTACAAAATTCGTTGTACTCCTAAACACTCTCTTCCTCCAAGAAAACAGCAACGCAGTTCTACAATGCAATAAAACAATAGCATTATTAAACAATAATATTCTGAACACTGGTTTGAAATTATTGTACACTAAACGTGTAACCTCTCACCTTTTCCGCCAGAGCTTTAGTTAATGTCATCTGCCCAGCCTCATCTGTCACCTTCACGCCAGGCCAACCGATCCACCATATCTCGTACTCCTTCACATCTACAACATTGGCACACAGTCTAGCAAATCTTCATAAAAAAAGGAGCACAAAACAGTGTAAATGTACTATTACCAAATTGCAAAAAAATAAAATAAAATAAAAAAATGACGAAGCAGTAATAAGCTATACCCAAACGATCGCTCACGGCTGGAATTGCTGAAAAAACAAAAGTGTAACACGTAGTAGCAGGTAGATTAGGACATACAAGATGCGGTTAAATCAGAATCAGTAATAACGGGAAACGCTCACCCAATAGTGCGCTCACGAGACCGCCTGCAGTTATCTCCATAGAACATGAGTCAGCTTCGCGCCTCAAGGCGGAAACCGGAAGCATGTTTGCCACCACCACCAGTCGCTGCCTGATAGGCCTCCAGTCAGGGCTTTCCCTCAAACTGTCGACGGTGGAGACCTCCGAGCTCCGCTCGATGTCGTGAGACCCTGAAGAGTCGTAATCGGTTTCAATTTGGAGCGTGTGGACGTCGGGACCAATTATTGTGGACGAGTGCGTGCTCGTGAAGCTTTCCTTCAGCTCATGCTCACTCAGAAGCTGGCCGACCCGGGCGTTCATGACGTGCGAGTCGTCGTGGCCGCCGTTGCGGCCGTTTCCGCCGTCGTGGCCGGTGGCGAGAGACATCTTTGCGACAAAGTGATTTGTGGTGTCAAAAATTCACACAGGCTAGACCAGAAACAAGGAATGATTTTTTATCCCGCCAAAAATTCACACATGCTAGACTGGAAACAAGAGTGATTTATTTTTATCTTTTTTATGTTGCTCTAGCTCGTGGATAAATAAATACAAGAGCCTGAGCTCGGCTCGAGTACAATTCAAAATTTTTTAAGTTCGTAAAATTACCATTAAGTGCATATATTAATATTATGATTAACATATATCTCGAGCCGCTCGATAATACAAAATATGGGATCGATCTCGACTCAAGTTCGTGCTCGAGACGCTCGAGCTACACTCTAGTGCTGTCAAACTCGAGATCAAGCTGAGCTTTGACTTGATTGCTCGCGAGCTGCTTGTGTCGAGTGTGCAGCCTTAGATTGAGTACTAACTTGTGATGTAATTTTTTGCTTCTGGAAAAATGAAGTTGATACTGAAAATGGACATTTTTTTGTTTTTACAAAAATATATTCTAAATTATTTATTTTAAATATATAGGCAAACATAAGTAAAATTTGATGGATAAGTGAATAGCATATAAAATTCTCAATTCAGTAAAAACTATGAGACCTTAGGTTCATATTTTTAAATTATGTAAAAAATAATTTCGTCCACCTCAGTTTATTGTTCAAAATAAAAATAACATAACAAGTGAAATAAAGAACAGCTATTAGAACCTTACCAAGAA